TTTGGATGTCAGTGTGGCGAAAATTAGGAAACAACCTTCCTCAAGACACAGTAATACCACTTTTTGGTATATATCCAAAGGATGCTCAATCGTGCCACAAGGACATATGCTCAACTATGTTCATAGCAGCTTTGTTTGTCATAGGCAGAACCTAGAAACAACCTAAATGCCCCTCAAACGAAGAATGGATAAGAAAAATGTGGTACATTTACACAATGGAGTACTACACAGCAGAAAAAAATAACAACAACTTGAATTTTGCAGGAAAATGGATGGAGCTAGAAAACATCATTTTGAGTGAGGTAATCCAGACACAGAAAGACAATTATCAATGTACTCACTCATAGGTGGTTTCTAAACATAAAGCAGAGAAAGCCAGCCTACAAACCACAATCCCAGAGAACTTACACAACAATACGGACACTAAGAGAGACTTACATAGATATAATCTACATGGGAAGTAGAAAGTAGAAAAAGACAAGATCTCCTGAGTAAATTGGGAGCATGGGGACCTTGAATTGGGTGAGGACTGAAGGGGTAGGGGAGAAGCAGGGAGGGGAACAGAGAAAAATGTAGAGCTCAATAAATATCAATTAAAAATATTAAAAAAGAGAGAAAATGTAGGCTTATACTTGACAAAACTGCCAAAGACATGGAATATGAAGAAACTGAGGACAAAAATGTCTGAAAAAGGTTAACATAGTGTGTATTCTTGAAGGGGTAGTATCAGGATTGTATAACAGGGCTTTGTTTTTAGAAACCAGACACTGTAGTGTTGCAGGGTAAAGACACACATGTTTGACGCTTCCTCAAAATGCTGCAAAAGACTTATAAAACTGTATGTGTTGAATGTATATATTTATGCATGGAGAACGAAATGGTAAGCAATTAAAGAAATTAGCAGAACATTAACTGAAAGAAATCCAAATGAAGATATACAATTGCAGATCTTTGTGTTGCTAGCATCTTATGAATTTGAAATGACTTCTAATTCAAGTAATCTGAAATCATTTTAAAATTATTGTCAAAATTTTGAAAGATGTTGTAATGTAGAATACCTGGTGGTAGAAAAGAACGGGATCCAGCTATCACCGTCCGACACCAAAACCAGATGGAAATTTGGTTTAAAGCACTTATATACCTGCCTTTACCATAATGAACGGATGTATTGACAAGGCAATACTTTTACACCTTTAGGGTACTAAAGGCATCTAAATAGGCTTTTCCTTCATGAATTTTAAGTAGATATTTTATAGCCCAATGATAAAAAGAATCTTGATTTGTTCATCCTTATAGGCCAAGCATCAACACACATTTATAGTTTTGTCTCTGTTACATTGTTGAGTAGGAATTCTAATTCCACCATCATTCCAACCAGAAAAATACAGTACCCTTGAGTATTACCAAAGACTTTTACACGGGAAACAGAAAGACTATCGGTGTCTAGTGTGTGTGTGTGTGTGTGTGTGTGTGTGTGTGTGTGTGTTAAGAAAAAGACAGAAAACAGAAAAAGTAGCAAGTATTGCCGTTTTTTAAGAATTCAAGAATTATTAATGGTATGTCCTATAATCTCAAAAGCAGAAAAACATGTAATTACAGTAAAGGACAGGGGCCAAACGAAGAGCAAGCTGTTAACAGACTCTGATTCTTAAAAACAAACAAAATGTTTATAATACAAAAGAAGCTTTGGGAGAAAAGTGGTAATAGTAGTAAATTATGCTTCTGAAAGTTAGGGGGTTCAAGAAACCATAAGATTGAACTGTATCAAAATGCTGCTAAACCATAAATCCCACCAATCAAGTCCGAATGAGTCTTTTCATCTCAGAACCAGTACTCTCCAAGGCCTTCAGATAGAATCACAGTCAAACATCTAGATTGGGAAAGTCAGTGAGAAAAGGAATCTTGACATATGTACCCTGGAGTGGCAGAACATAAACCCTGATCCCCACACAGCTCAGTGAAGGTTGAATGAAATGAAGAAATACAATAAGCAGGAAAGTGAAGTATCTAGGGTGGAGAAGGAAGAAGCAGTTTGAAGAAAATGGACTGAAAAGTCCAAATATCACTGTTCCCCAAGTTAGATCATTTTGTGAAATTAAATAAGATACCTAAGCATTTTTAGGATAATGCAGAGAAACTCCTGACAATACTGAGCTGAAACTCAAAATCTTTTTTGACAATATGTGCCATATAAATCTCAATATTTGAAACACTTAAGAATTTAATCTAAATGATATATGCAGCCTCCAAGGGGGGAAAAACTATTAAAAGCACCGAGAAAAAATTTTCACTTCCACTAATGTAGAACCAGAGACACTTGATTCATACTTCTTCCATCAACCGTATCTACTCATTTACGAAAAATACCTTTACCTTTTACCTATAGGAACACTGTATAAATATATGCGCTTCACTTTCACAAGTGAACACACCGAGGAAAGAAGGAGGAAAGACAATCAACACTCTAAGAAGTGAGGAATCCTACAGAAGCTTGAAAGAGCGGCCAACGAAACTCTGCATGCACCCGTGTACAGCCCTCACTTTCTAAGACAGCAAGCATGATGATTTCATGACACTTTCATAAATTCGGTATTCTCAGAAATATTCTTGAGAAAGGGAACAAATAAATGAAATAGGAAAATGTGGTTCTATTTTTCCCTCTTTGCCCCAAAGATAATTGAAATCAGTGGACTTTTAAATAAGGGTTGTTCTGGCAATGGGTTTTTGATCCTACTGCACGTATTGGCTTTGTGGGAGCCTAGGCAGTTTGGATGCTCACCTTACTAGACCTGGATGGAGGTGGGTGGTCCTTGGACTTCCCACAGGGCAGGGAACCCTGATTGCTCTTTGGGCTGAGGAGGGAGGGGGACTTGATTGGAGGAGGGGGAGGGAAAGGGGAGGCGGCGGTGGGGAAGAGACAGAAATCTTTAATAAATAAATAAATAAAAGATTAAAAAAGTAAATGAATGAATAAGGATTGTTCTGTGTAACTGCCCATTCCCCCATTAGAATACTCAGATCTTATTCAGAAGCTGATTGTACAGAAAACAGAAGACACCCCTTCAACGATGCACTCAAGTCTGCACAGTGTTGGCTTCTGTGCCAAGGAAAGTGTATTTCCAGAAAGACCGTTGGAACTACATCTTCTGAGCCTGTGAAGTGTAGTTACAGAATCAACTGTTAAAAGAACTGTTTTGGGGGAAGGGTGACTAAACATACTTATTGTTCTGAAAGAAATAATAGTTCCCAAGAAAAATGTTACCATGCTACCATCCTGCCTTAGGGTAGTTTACAGACTAATGACAAAACCTGCAGCCTACAGAGCACCAGTATTTTGAGATTATCATTTGCTTTCTACAATGCCTTGAAAAGTAGTAAATACATGAAGACACATGACAGCTACTGTCCAGTCACTGAAGTATTAAAAGTATATTTTAACCTAATTTTTGGAAAGTTCTGCAAAAGCAGACTAAAAAAAAAACTAACTAAAATTTAATGAGAAAAAGTCTAGTAATCAAAACAGTAAGAAATTAACAGTATCCAAAGTATACTAACTAAAATTTCAAACATTTTCACATTCGTTCTTCAGATATACCAGTAAAGCTTTCCTGCAATGGGTTGTCGCAATACAAGATTTTTCAAGAATAGAGCTTGTGAGAATAAAACCTCTTCAGGAGCTGCTTCATTAGGGCTCTAGCTTCAATTTCCTCCGACTCCAACCTCAATGTAAGAACAGTACCCACAAACAGGGACAGGACTGAGGGTACAGAAGGAGCGTCCATTCTTTTGTTTGGGTGGCAAAACCAACAAACAACGGTGCCATCAGCACCTACCTAACCCCACCATGACAGTCCTGCAGAGCACTTTTAACCTCTTAGCTCCTCGGTACGTCAAATCTGCGGAGTTGGAGGTATCCAAGGCTTTTCACATCTCATGCCCGGGCTGCTCCGGGTTCTACAGAAAATGAAGGAGGGCACGAATCTTGTGAGGACAGAGGGACAAGGCGATGTAGACATGTATGGAGGATGGGGCGCGCCGTGGAAACCGGGAGGCTTGTAAATACGTGAGCGTACCTGTTCAGGGATAGGGACAGAAGGGACGATGGGCACACTCTCAAGAGACACGGAAGGGCGTGAACTGGGCAGCTGTAGACAGCCTCGGCCAAAGCCGAGCCGCGAAGCAGAGACTTACGGTTACTTCTCCCGGTGGAAACCGGGGTCGCGCGGATCGCACAGGTCTGCAGCCTCCTCCCCCGCGGCCACCTGCCTCTCACGCCGCCGAGCCGATGACCTCGCTTCCACTCCGCGCCCTACCCACCCGCCGCCAGCGGCTGAGGGCGCCGGAGGATGCGCGCTGGAGGCCGCGGGAAGCGCTGCGCGAGCCCGACGCCGGGCGAGCTCACACCCTCTCCAGCTGCGCCGCCGCGCTCCGGGTGGGGAGGAGGGGGCGGGGGCGCCTGCCTCCGCCGCTCGGTCAAGTCCAGAGCATGGTCGTGCCGTGGGTGCGCGCGCAGCCGTGGACGCTGACCTCCACCAGCACCGCGAGTGCCCAGGGGCCGGCGCCCGCTCCAGACAGCGGCGGCCGCCGCAAGAAGGGGCACGGACCGGCACGAACGGCGGCACCCGCAGACCGACCCGGAAGCTTTTCCGCCGCAAACCTTAAGCAGGCTGGGGGAGGGGGAGGGGCGTAACCCCGGAAGTTATTTTCTGGCGCCGGTGGCGGCGACGAGGCTAGCCGAGGCCTTAGGCGTCTCGAGTTTGTGGGAGAGGCGAAGGTGATTGCGGCCGAGGGAAGGGAAGGACCGTGGAGAGCAGGTGTCCAGACCCGAACTCTCCGGGCGGTGACTTCTGCTGCAGGAAGTTGGTTCGAGCCCCTGGTCCTCTTAGAAAGGCATAAGAAATGAGAAAACGGTGACCGCTCCTCAATGCACCGGTTGCCGCCCCACCCTGTGACTTGGATGTAGCGGACCCTTAAGGGGATGGCCGCTCGCTCGGGTTAGTCTGGGTTTCCTTCGCGGCATCGAGAGGCACAATCCAGACTCCAGCTAGCGAAAACGGGCGGGACACCGAACCTCTCCACCTAGGTTCTGCAGGCAAGGGGTGTATTTCTCCGAGCAGTTAGCAAGACTCCAAGGTCGTCTTTTGGGTAAGAGCCTTTGGAGCAAAGCAGCTTGCTTTTTCCCCAGTAGTGGAAGATTGGTGGGTGGTGGGGCAGCTTCCCAGGCAGAGTGTTATCTTTGTAGGGAAAGTGATGTCCAGCGTATTGATTGTGGGTCCTTTCTTTCCGAGTTCTTCGTTTATAATTTTTGCCTCGCTTGCTTTGCTGTCCCCGCCCCTTCCCCTGTGTTTGTAGCTTCAACTAGAACCCCTTTATGTGGCTGGACTACCTCAAGATTTCAGCTCCATTCCTGTCCCACCCTCTCAGAGAACTTACCATGGCCTTTACTGTTTGTTTGCAGTCAGACCAGCTGACCCACAAAGGAATATTACCCTAGCTGTGGGCACTAAATGACAATTGTCCGCCTCTTCTTTCTCAATCATAATGATAAACAAAAACGCCCCTACGTGTTTCTAAAACGATCTCAGAAACCTCCCAGTTATGAACCATCACTTACATAAGTCCTCGTTATTTTGGCAGCGTATCACGCCAGAGCATTTTCTCCAGTGCACTGAGCCGTAACAATACCTTTATTTCTTTTGTCTTTTGTGTTTCTGTTGCACCTGTCTTACCTTCATGACTGGTAGCTTTTGCTATTTTCTTTCTTTTTTTTTTTTTTTTGTGGTTGAGTTTGAGCTGGAGTAGGTGCAATAACCTTAGCTTTTGCTATTTCCTAGCCTCAACCTTTGTTTCCTTTTATGTCACTGAAAGATTATTTTAAATGCTCCAGTACAAGTACTTCTTGAAACCCAATTTTAAGAATATTTGGGGGATATGTTAATAGTGAACGACTTAAAATATATGAGTATTAATTAATGAAACACTTTGTTAATAGGCGTTTTCTTGTCATGAGTTGATAGAAACAAGAATTAGTTTTCTTTAAATTCTGCGTAGAAAGTGAACAGCTACTTCGTTTCTTCTTTAGGTGATTTATAGAAAGCACTGTTTTCTGCAATTGCCATGTATTCTGTACTGTGTCTCTACAATACAATGCCTTTTGAAGAAGATTGCAGTCTTTAAGGCACCCATATATCTTATTATTTATAATTTATTATGTTTTAGTCATTGTTGATCGGAGATGAAAATAATTGCTAGACAGGAATTTTGTAGAAAAACCTCTTTTTCAACTTTTTTTCTGCATGTAGTGGCTTTTTAGGATGATCTTATTAAAATGATTGAACTGAAAAAAAAATCCCTTGAACTATAGAAATGGAACAAATCTTTTTTCAAAACTTTGAGCAAAATGAAATGCTTTCATTCTAATGTCTCATAGAAAGTTCATCTAAATACCTTAGTTTCTGTGGGACAAAATCAATGAAAACTTTTGTAATTAAATACTTTAACTTTAGGAAAATGAGTTAGGCTATCAGTGCCATCCATTGCATCTGAGAAAAGAGAGTAAACGTGTATCCTCTCAAATAACATTTCAACCCTTTTTGGAAAATGCTTCTTCTGAGAGTTGAAGCAATAAGGGACTCATTAAATATGAAAAGACCGTTTTAATGCCTAAAGGGCCTTTAAAAAATTAAAGGAAGCTGATGCGAGTGTGACTAGAAAAGAAACTCTGTGGTTGATTTCTTTTAGAAATTTACTGGCATATCACTGACTGGAACATTTAAAAGCCAAAGGGTAAAGATACGCAGTCCAAGAGAAGCTTTTTAGTGTAGCTATGAACAAGTAATGGTTCTGATCAAAGAGAACATTCAGCAGTCAAGTATGTGACTGAAATTCAATTACTTTTCCAAAATTGCCCAGGGGAGACTTAAAAAATAATTTTGGGGGGTTAGGAAGGATTACATACATTGACACAGTGACGATGTTTAAAAGAAAAACTGGATTACCTAGGGAAATCGATAAAAGAAATGGAAAAGATTTTTCTTTTTCCTACTGACCAAATGGTTCCAATCTGTGATGGGCATCTCCAAAGAAAGTTATAAACCTAAGTTAGGACATCCAGATATCTAAATCAAATGTTTTCTTGCTCAGAGTTCTGGAGTGTTGGTAGGTATAAAGCAGCTACTTCCAACTTCCAAACTCAATATTTATTTGTATACTTTAAGGAAAATAAAAGTACATTATTCCGAACCACTATTTTGAATTATTATTTACTTTATAAAATATTTTATAATTATGCCACTCTTTAAAGCCCCAAAGACAGATTTTTGATTTTTTTTTTTTTTTTTTTTTTTTTTTGGATTTTCAAAACAGGGTTTCTCTGTGGTTTTGGTGCCTGTTCTGGTGCTAGCTCTTGTAGACCAGGCTGGCCTCGAACTCACAAAGATCCTCCTGCCTCTGCCTCCCTAGTGCTGGGATTAAAGGCATGTGCCACCACCGCCCGGCCAGATTCTTGATTCTTGATGATGAAAACAAAATTAAAGTCATCTTTGGCTTGCCTTTTAGGGTATTATATGTTATAAATTATAAAAATCAATATTTTACAGTTGCTTTGCAAAGTGAATATTTAAAAAGTTGTTGAACTGGGTTAAATGCTTTACCTTGCCACCAGTTATGTCATTTACTCTTCCAAGGACCTTTCTGTTTGTTTTATAAAGCAATGGGAAATCCAGAAAACATAGAAGATGCCTATGTTGCGGTTATCCGTCCAAAGAATACGGCCAGTCTCAACTCTCGGGAATATAGAGCGAAGTCCTATGAAGTGAGAAAATTTAATAACATTTGATTCCTACCATTGAATGTCATTCTGTACTGTCATTTATATATAAAGCTTTATGACCATATGCTGCAATTATTATTAGTGAGCTAGTTAGTCTAGGACTCTACCCAATTGTATTTTTTTCTGTTGCATACCTTTCAATTTGGCATTCATTTACATGTGTGGATTATTAAATAAAAAGTTACTTATGGGACTGAGATATAGATCTGTTTATACATTCTTGGCTAGCATGCATAAAAAAACTGAGTTTGATTCCCAGCACTGCGTAAAATCAAGCATGGTGGACCTTGACTACATAGGTTACTTGAAGCCAGCCTGGGTGCATGAGACCCTTTCTTCAAATGAAAGGACAAGAGAATGAAAGACAAAGTCATGAGTTTTTTTATTGGTGGTGTTTGTGGTGGTGGTGGTATTCCCCTACCCCACACCCCCACCCCAACACAGGGTTTCTCTGTGTATAACCCTGACTGTCCTGTAACTCACTCTGTAAACCAGGCTGGCCTTAAACTCAGAGATCTGCCTACCTCTGCCTCCAGTGTGCTAGGATTAAAAGTGTGCACTACTATGCCCAGCTCATGATTTTCTTAAGTTTATCTATTTAGGTATTTATATAATTTATGGATTAACTCAAAAATAAAAACTTAATGAAAATCAGTTTAATCCGACCTTTAATATAAAGATTGATAATTGATTATTTTCAGATTATTTTTAACAATTCATTGAAAAATATATTTTACCTTAACTCATTTGACAGCTTTACACAATCAAATAACTTTTCTGTAGTTGTATATAGATTAGTAAATGTGTAATTGGGGCAATTATATATCTGTGTGTTACAGTTGTATGTTACATATATAAATGCAATTGAATTGCTTTTTCCTCCCTGTATTATAGCCTAATTTTTCTAACATTTGGCTTAAAGTGTGTTTCTAAGGTTATCTGTAACCATTTCCTGATTTCAGTTGCACTATGGATTGATGGGAAACTATTTGCACTAGGATTCCATTCCTTATGCATTCTGATTGAATAGGTCCAGAGAGGAGACTAGGATTGGTATTATTTTAAAGCTTCATAGATTATTCTGTAGTATGCACCTAGGGTTGAGAAAGACTGTCAGATTATAATAGTATTCTAGGGCAAGTGATTAAACTTTCTATTAATGCTGTTTTTCTTATCTAAGATTTTATTGCATGAAGTTCCCATTGAAGGACAGAAAAGAAAGAGAAAGAAAGTTTTGCTGGAAACTAAACTACAAGACAACAGTGAAATAGCACAAGACATACTGGATTATGTAGTAGAAACTACCAAACCAATTTCTCCTGTAAACCAGGGCATCAGAGGTAGGAACTTTCCTCTCTCCCTACACCTAACAGTTTGTTTTCAAGAGTTAAAAAGAAGAAATGTGGGCTTTTTGGGTGGAAGGGTTGTTTTGTTTTGTTGATTTTGTTCACTGTGTAACCCTAGCTGGCCTGGAACTAATTATGTAAACCAGGCTGGCCTTGAACTTGCAGAGATGTGTCTGCTTCTGCTCTTGAGTGCTGACTTGTACTGCGGTGCCAGGCCCTGAAAAATATTTTTAAAAGTATTTTAAAACCAATTTCTGTTTTCCTTTCCATTTGAAAAAGTAGGAAAACCTTGGGAAGTTGTTAAACTATATCCAAATCCTTGAAGTAGTAACTTCAGTGTAATTTTATCAAATTTTATTAGCAAGTATTAACTGTACCAAATAGATTTAATTATAGAATTTTCCAGTGTATGTTATGTAGTTTATCATATTCACTGTTGCAGTTCAGTCCCCATCCACCCTGCACTGGTCCTCTGCTTCCCAAAGATAACTGACTTCTGCAGAGCCCAAACCGTGTGAGGAACTGCGGTGCTAGGGATTTGTTTATGGAGCAGGTTACTTTTGCTAACAGTATTGTTTTCTAGATAATTATCTTTGAGCTATTATTTTTATTTCTACCAGACAGAAGAAACTAACTATAAGCCTCTCTCTATGGCTTAGTGAAATATAATATTCATGGATTAATTAGCCATAAAAACCCTTTAAAAGCTATCAAGGTGATACAGTTTTCTTCTCATTTTAATCATGGGAAGAAAATTCTTTTCAAAAAACCAAACTGAAAAGTATTAACTTGGGCCAGGTTGTGGTGGTGCAAGCCTTTGATCCCAGCAGTCTGGAAGCAGAGGCAGGTCTGTGAGTTCAAGACAAGCCTGGTCTACAGAATGAGTTTCAGAACAGACAGAGCTACACAGAGAAACCCTGTCTCAAAAACTAAATTAATAATAATAAAAGGAAATAAAAATAAAACAAAAGAAAAAAAAAGTATGAACTCTAAAAGGTAGAGCCCATTTAAAATGTTAGATAATATATAGCCTGTGAAAGTTATTGAAAAGTAATAACTTATTTTTTGGCCTCATAAGAAACAGAGAGCTGTCAGAAGGTACAGCTTTTATAAACTGTGTATATGTTATGTTTTAAAAAGGAAAAAATTCAGAGCTGGATAAATGGCTCAGTGGTTAAGATCACTGGCTGCTCTTAAAGAAGATTCAGATTCAATTTCCAGCATCCACATGGTGGCCCACAGCCCTTAGAATTTTCTAGTACATTAAAATATGGCTCTGAATCTATTAGTTGATTGTCTATATATTGATTCCTTAGTATCAAAATTTTACCACCATTTTTTAATTAAAAACTTTGTGTGTTGTGTATGCATGTATGCCCATATGCTCATTTGTGTGTGTGAGTGTGGGTCACAGTTATACCACGACTCACATGTGAAAGGGCTAGGGAAACCTTATATTTCTCTGTTCTTGCTTTCCACCTTGTTTGATAATGGATTTCTCAATTGCTGCAGCTGCATACACCACGCTAGTTGACCCTCAAACCTCTAGGACGTCTCCTGTCTACATCTCCCATCTTGCTGTGGGGCACTGGAATTATAGGCACACACTAATGTGCCCAGATTTACCTGAGTTCTCTGAGGAGTCTCACACTTGTGCAGCAAATACTTTACCAACTGAATCACCTCCCCAACTGCCAGAATGATCAGTTTTTATTAGTGCATTTAATATAGTATAATATAATAAAATATAACATAACAACCTTTTAAAATGTTTGAGTTTCTTTTCTAAATCTTTATTTTCTTTGGTCTTTTTGTATATGTTTTAAGTTTTTATTAATACTAATTTATTATTAAAATATATATT